GGATGGTGGGATAATGGAGACGCGCTCCTTCTGCTCGTGGACGTCCATCTTCCACAGGAACAGCGTCCGCGCCAGCTTCTCCACCTGGGAATGCCGGAATTCCCGGGATTGGGGATTGTGGGATGGTGGGATGGTGGGATGGTGGGATGGTGGGACAATGGGATGGTGGGATAATGGGATAATGGAGACGCGCTCCTTCTGCTCATGGACGTCCATCTTCCACAGGAACAGCGTCCGCGCCAGCTTCTCCACCTGGGAATGTGGGAATTCCCGGGATTGGGGCATTTGGGGAATGTGGGATGGTGGGATGGTGGGATGGTGGGATGGTGGGATGGTGGGATGGTGGGATAATGGGATTTTGGGATTGTGGGATGGTGGGATAAAGGAGATCTGGTTGATCTTCCACAGGAACAGCGTCCGCGCCAGCTTCTCCACCTGGGAATGCCGGAATTCCCGGGATTGGGGATTGTGGGATGGTGGGATGGTGGGATTATGGGATGGTGGGATGGTGGGATAATGGAGATCTGGTTGATCTTCCACAGGAACAGCGTCCGCGCCAGCTTCTCCACCTGGGAATGCCGGAATTCCCGGGATTGGGGGATTGTGGGATGGCGGGATGGTGGGATTATGGGATTTTGGGATGCTGGGATGGTGGGATTGTGGGATGGTGGGATAACGGAGATCTGGTTAATCTTCTGCAGGAACAGCGTCCACGACAGCTTCTTCACCTTGGAATATGGGAATGTGGGAATTCCCGGGATTGGGGCATTTGGGGAATGTGGGATGGTGGGATGGTGGGGTGGTGGGATAATGGGATGGGATAATGGAGATGTGTTCCTTCTGGTTGATCTTCCACAGGAACAACGTCCGCGCCACCTTCTCCACCTGGGAATGTGGGAATTCCTGGGATTGGGGGATTGTGGGATGCTGGGATGGTGGGACAATGGGATAACGGAATTATGGGATTATGGGATAATGGGATAGTGGGATGGTGGGATAACGGAGATCTGGTTGATCTTCCACAGGAACAGTGTCCACGCCACCTTCTCCACCTGGGAATGTGGGAATTCCCGGGATTGGGGCATTTGGGGATTTTGGGAAAATGGAGACGCGCTCCTTCTGCTCGTGGACGTTCACATCTTCCACAGGGATGGTGGGATGATGGGATTGTGCGATAGTGGGATGATGGGATGATGAGATTTTTGGGATTTGGGAGGATGGGATGATGATGTTCTGGAATTATGGAATGACGGGATAATGGGATTATTATATTATGGGATTATGAAGTTATGGGGTACTGGGATGATGAGATTATGGGATGGTGGGATGATGAAATTATGGGATTATGATGTTATGGGATTATGGGATTATAGGATAATGACATGATGGGATTATGGGGTGATGGAATTATGGGATTATGATATGGAATTATGGGAATATAATATGGAATTATGGGATCATGATATGGAATTATGGGATTATGGGATAATGGAATGATGGGATAATAGGATGTTGAGATTATGGGATTATGGGATGATGGGATTATGGGATTATAAAATAATGGGATTATGGGATAATNGATGTTGAGATTATGGGATTATGGGATGATGGGATTATGGGATTATAAAATAATGGGATTATGGGATAATAGGATGATGGGGTGATGGGATAATGAAATGATGGGATAATGTGATGATGGGATGATGGGATGATGGAATTATGGGATCATGATATGGAATAATGGGATTATTGGATAATGGAATGATGAGATTATGGGATTATGATGTTATGGGATACTGGGATTATGGGATGATGGAATTATGGGGTTATGATATGGAATAATGGGATCATGAGATGATGAGATAATGGGATAATGGAATGATGGGACAATGGAATGATGGGATAATGGGATTATGGGATGATGGGATTGTGGGATTATGGGATGATGGGGTGATGGGATGGGGTCATTCCCAGAATTGTTGGGGGACGGAAAACCCTTTGGGAATTTCCTTGGAAAAGCCGCAGGCGCCGTGGAGGGGCCTGGGATGAATCCCGGAGCCTTGGAGATTCCAGGGAATCCCAGAAGGGAGGGAAAGGGCGGGAAAAGGGAGGAAAAGGGGAAAAGGGAGGAAAAGGAAGGAAAAGCAAGGGAAGGAAAAGGAAAGGAAAGGAAAGGAAAAGGAAAAGGAAAGGAAAGGAAAGGAAAGGAAAGGAAAGGAAAGGAAAGGAAAGGAAAGGAAAGGAAAGGAAAGGAAAGGAAAGGAAA